AACCTGTCAGCAGGAAGCTAAGGAGAACCTCAGACACAGCAGTGAAGGGAAGGGCTCTCTAATCCTTCTGCTATGTACTGATTCTGACAGAGAAAGTTCCACTCCATTTCAAAAATTATCAAACTGGAAAAACTGCTGTAATTACAGGTAGGTAGCTATAGAATAAAACTATTTTCTTAAAAGGATAGATTTTTCCCCTGATTACTCATAAATGGTCAAACCTATTTTCTCAAAGTATAACATAGCTACTCTGGTATCGAACACCGTAACCGGCAAGCTACTATCCCGATTTTACCTCTCTCTTACTACAGGCGCACTTTTTTTCTTAAAATTCTTTTCTTGGGGCTAGCAGGTGGCGTGGTGGTTAAGGCACTGGATTCCCACACAGCAAAGCACGGCCGAGTCTCAGACTCTGGCTGGAAAGTCAGGCCAGGCATGTGTATGTGCGCGCCCAAAATCCTAGAAGAGAACGGAAGAGGAGGGACTGCGGCACGGCCATGTCCCCAGGGGGCAGCGGGATTTCTCACTTTCCATCTCTCTCTCTCTCTCTTAGGAGGACATTTTTAGGAACTGAAATAATGGCATATAAGAAATATCATAAAAATCTTACTTCATCAGCAAGTTTTCGGTTAAAAATCCTGGACTCTTCTAGCGGCGACCAGATCTTTATGTCATAATCTATGCCGGATGAAGCCAGAACTAGACATAAACGCACATGTCAGTACAACGCTCAGAAACACGCCATTCATTCATGATCAGACATTCACTCGTGCAATATATATACTGGCCGCAAAACCACGCCTGACAAGAAATCGTACCCATACATTTAACGTTACTTGAGGATATTATTTTGAAGATTTCCTAAAGTTAGCGTAGAATATAATTTTAAGACCGTCTTAAAGTTCCTCGAATTTGTCACAGTCATTGTTCTCTGACAAACACGGGCAATTTCACACATAAGGCTGAGCGAGCCAACGAACGCTCGCTGGTAAATTAATTCAGAAAAGCAAGAGTGAAAAAATTTAAAAAATGGCTTAGAGATTCGATTTGAGTCAGTACTGAAACGTTCGGTCATACCAAGCCTTGCAGCCAGTAAAGCTTAAAAGAAAGATTAGGAGAATAAACCCTTCGGCCTGTTTCCTTGTGCTTTCTGCTTAAAGCAGACTGCAGGTTTTCGTTGGCTGGGTTTGCTCTAAGCCTCGCAGGGACAGGCCTGAGTAGAAAGCCTAAGCCGGCAGCCGTGTGCAGAGGCCCTCTTACTCGGGTCGAAGGGGTGCGGCTGCAGGCAGTTCACCACGTGGTTGTCGGCCTCCAGGAGCATCAGGTGCTCGGCAGTGCGCCGGTCCCAGATGAAGATGTGGCCGCAGTCAGAGCCGCTCATCACGAAGTTAGCGCCCCAGAAATTGGCTTCCTTGATCTAAGGAGGGGGAATTATAAAAAAATTCAGCCCAAAGTTACTAAAGACATGTTATTCTTACATTTAAAATACAAATTGCCTCAAAAAATTAAAAGCCGGAGAGCGTCTCTACCTAGTTTCTTAAATCACGATACAGACTCATCTGCAGGGGGAGTGCGGCACTACGGAACAGGGCCCGCGAGGGCAGGGTGGCTTCACTCAGTGCCACGCTTACAGTGCCTGAGACAGTTCTTGGCATCCGGTTGGTGCCTAATCAGGAGCTGCTAAATGCATGAATGGGATTTGTGGGTTTTGGATGGGACATGGAAAGTTAGATACTTATTGCTGAACTTTCCAAAACTGTCCCATTTTAGCTTTACAAAGCAGTAACATAATTCGTAAAGAAACTTTTTAGTTTGCTTTATGCTGGAAGAACAAAAAGTATCATTTTTTTGTGAGCCATGAGAAGCTCACTCAGTTGAGGTGGAAAGGCACAAACACCGCGTTTTATGAAGGATGAGACAAAGGAATGTGACATGCTGGAATGGTCACGATGACATTTTTCACGGATGCCCGTGAACAAGCCACTGAAGTCTCTGTGCTTCGGATGGGGATTTCTAAATTCAGGTATCTGCTGAGCTGCTTTGTCTTCTTGGTGTTCGAACCCAGAGGGCCGAGCTGGCTGTCAGGTGGGCCTGCAGGGCAGTTCCCTGTCTTGTTTCACCCCACCCTAATGTCTTCCCTTAAAATGTTAACAGCAACAATGTAGGAAATACAAACGGATTACTTTCATTAATGAGTATCCTTTAAGATGATTACATTGTTACCCTAGATGATGTCTACAGAGAGAAGTAACTGTTTCCCCATGCCAAAGTTCATTTTCTACCTAGGCCATAAGAAAAAAGCAAATTCAAACCTTGTGCAGATATTTTTTGATAACTCCATGGAAACATAAGAAAAAAAACTTTCTATACATGAATGGTTCAGAGTAATAGCTGTAACACACAAGCTGAGTGTCCCCTACCCAAAACGCTTGGGATCAGAAGTATATCAGATGTGGGGGAACCAGCAGTTAGCGTAATGGCTATGTCGCTGGACTCCCACGTAGTCGACTGCGGTTCACGTCCCAGACCTGGTGGCTTAAAACTCACACCGGGTGCGTGTGTGTGCGTGCCCAACATCCCTAGAGGAGAGTGGAGGAGAGGGGATTGCGGTGTGACCATTCCCCCTGGGGGGTGATTTCTCGCTTTCTGTCTCTCTCTGTCTGGCGAGCGCACGCGCCCTATAGCGAAAACCTCTCCAAAAAAAAAAAAAAAGAAGTGTATCAGATTTGGGATTTTTTTTCAGATTTTAGAATACTTAACATATACAGGAGTTATACTGGGGACAGGACCCAAGTCTAAAAGTGAGTCTGATTTATGTCTGATAAAACACTTGCACGGCCTGACGGGACCTCCCGTCTGTGTTTATGCTGCGGCCTGCTGCCTGTGACCTACCGCATGCGGCCAGGTATCAGTTTTGCACTTGTAGTATCATGTTGGTGCTTCAAAAATTTCGGATTTTGGTGCATTTTGGGTCTCAGATTTTTGGATTCGGGATGCACAATATGTACTAATTGTCTCAAGAGTCTCTTACTAAGTAGTTAATACTGTGTTGGCTGCACGGACTCGTAGACTGTAAAATCTACGACAGACCTTGAAGATGACCTGACTACTCTTATTTCACAGATGAGGGAATTAACGTCTAGCGACAAGTGGCTAAGCCACCTCTGTAAAAGGTTACCTCCAAGTACTCTATGTAAGTAACAGCCTGGATTTCACAAGTCCAGTTTTCTCTCCAAAGCTGACAAGGGATGCTAACGTGAGTCAGAACAGGACTTCTGCAGGTAGGTGGCAAGCGTGTGTACGAGAGGGAGAGAGAAAGCAAAGCGATGACTGCTTGCATGAACTGATTTTCTTTAATCTACATATATGTCCTTAGTGGTTTCTTGTAAAAACAACAGTGTCTCGCAGTACAGTAAAGCACTAGGAAGCTGTTTGTATAGAGAGAGCGGTGAAGGCTCGGCTGTGTCACAGCTAAGCCACGTCCTATCTAAGGCTGCGGTCCGGTACCATCGTCCTGGAGTTGCGATGGCCCTTGTACACCATCTTCACCAGCGGCCTGCGGATGTTCAGCGTGTCCAGCTCTTCCAGCTCTTTCCTTTCCTTTCTCCGCCTGAAGAACTCCTGAATGCGGGCAACGGCAGAGCGTCTACGAATTACACAGTAAACAAAGAGAAATGAGAGCACTTCACAGGCTACTGCGGCATGACAATGGAGAACTTTGAAATACACTGTCTCCCACATTTTAAACACATTATCTCGGTAAGGCACCCCAACCAAAAGCACACATAGCAGACAAAACAGCGGGACGGAGTCGCCCTAGCTGAGTTACTGAGACAGTGTTTGAGCTGGGTGGGAAAGTGAGGGGAACGGCATGCAGCAGGCAGGTGGAAGCGAAGAGCTCGCCTACGACACGCTACGTGGACACACTTCATGTGCGACTGCACCACGAATCAAACGGGTCCCACCCAGGGCCCCTTCCTCCTCTGCACGTCAGAAAAAGGCAAGGCAGAGCGCAAGCCAAAGGAGCAAGGGTAACACAGAACGGCAGCAGGCAGATTCTGCTCCGAGATTTATGAAAACATGGTTTAACGATGTTCCAAGGACGGACCAATCAAGAGGGAGTATCAGGAGGAGAGCAATAAGACGAGGACCTCCAAATAGTGTCTTTTCTAACGAACTCTGGGTTGGAGTACAGATCTGGGGCGAAGGAAGAAGCAAGGAGAATGAAAACTCCCGGATCTCCAGTTCACACAGTAGACTGCCCCCAAGAACTGGTGACGGAACTGGGAACTGGAGGACAGGGAGGTTTTTGAGACTGACTGAATTTCTAGAAGAAAGGCCGAACACATAGGACGTATTGTTAGTTTGAATTTGTTACTTAAAAACATTATATACTGACATAAAGTAAACCGAAAGTCCATATGATTTTAAAAAGCCTACAAAGCGGTAAGAAAAACGAACCTAACAGCTAACAACAATATAAAAACATGCTCGGTCTTGATAATGATCAGGTAAGATAAATGACAAAATAATTTTTTATGCTTATTGAACTGAAAAGAAATGTGTGTCTCCTATTTGGGAGAACAGGTGCTGCTGGCAGGACTGAAAGCGGCTCCACGCGTGAGAAAGGACCTGCTGCCTCCGGCGTTCCTTTTTCACGAAGTCCAAGGCGCACGCAGACAGGTGCGGCACTGCAGGCCGCAGCTCAGAGAACTCCCACAGGTGGGATGGGCCAGGTCTGCCACGAATGGAGCATGAATCCAGGTGCCGACACCGAGAAACAGCACGACCAGAACCAGGTACCTAAGGACTCCATTCTCATCATCACTCTCCCCTGGAAGGGAACCAGGAGGCTGAACTCTAACACCAGAGATCAAGGCTCCCTGTCTGAGAAGTGTAATCGAGGGGCCTCATACAATATGCAGTATGTTCTTTTATTTAAAGAGAATTATTTTAACTTTATTTATTTACTTACTTATTATTTATTTTAATTTGACCAGAGAGGGACAGAGTGAGAGAGAACAAGGAGTGAGTAAGAGAGAGAAAGTGAGAAAGCAAGCTGCCAGGTCCAGGACTCGAACCACAGTTGGCCATGTGAGAGTCCAGAGCCCGTAACCACCATGCCGCCTGCTGGCCCCTACAGGACGTTCTTTATGCCTAGCTTCTTTTATCTTGCAAGATTCAGCCACGCTGTTAAACTCAGCTGCAGTTCGTTTATGCTGTTAGTGTTACTTTGTATAAATATAATGTATGTATCCACTCTACTGTTGGTGGGCACTGCGCTGTCTGTAATTTTTGATTATTGAAACATGACTACTATCAAAACTTCATGTCTGTGGTGAATGTAGTACACAACATTCTTTTTTTTTTAAGAATTATTTATTAATTTTATTTATTCATTCATTTTTATCTTTAGTTTAACCTGAGAGAGACAAAGAGAAGGAAAGTGAGAAATCAAGCCACCAGGTCCAGGACCCAAAGTGTGGTCAGCCATATGGGAGTGTCCAGCGCCTTAACTATTATGCCACCTGCTGGTCTCTGATTCATGTTTAATATATACCCCCGACAATTCTCCAAACTGGCTATACAAATTTATACTCCCACTAACAATCTACTAGAACTCTAATACAATATGTTTCTGAGGAGAGATTAGGTAATATATATGCGTTAAAACAGGTATAACCTTTTTTAAAAGCTAATTTATTTAGAGGGAGGAGGAGAGAAGCGGACGGACACCCTCAATATGGTCATGTCACACACACCCTCCCTCCTCCCAGCCGGTCAGAGCCACAGGTGTGCATGGGCTCAGCACACGCCAGGCCCTCCCAAGACCTGAGCTGTGGCTCCCCTGTGGCCCCGGCACTGCAGACTGGCACCTACCACATGTGGGATTCATGTGTAAGCGCTGACTTAGAAATGCTACTTTTAAGAGATCTATACTGTAGAAAAACTCAAATATGTAACATATGTGAATATACGTATTATACTGCAGAACTGTAACTGAGAAAGACTGGAAATAATCTAAATGTTCACATACAAAGGGTAAGTTAAATAAAATTACAGCACATCCATATGATGTAATTCTTATGACATCATTAAAAAGGATAAGGAAAATCCCTGTATGACTGTCTGAAAGAGATCGGCATTGTACTGCCGAGTCCAAAACTCAGGCTAAGGGATAGTTAATTCATAGAGAAAAATTTATATATGCATAAAGTTGAGAAAGATATCAAATCATTAATAAACATTTAAAAACAACTATGTAACAATATATACTACCACTTTTATAAAAAGATATTTTATTTTTCATAAAATAAAATTGTGTAATCTAAGTTACATGGATTTATTTTAAGTGCTAAGTATATTTAAAAAGAGTCTGAACATCTCCTTTTAAGTTAGATATTGCTGGAAACTCCCAGGCGGAAAGCTCATAGGCGAAGTTAGCTGTGATCACCTCTTTCTAATGGGGAGATGAAAACGGGGAGGGCTGAGAGGCCCAGTAATCTCAAAGCGGGAGAGAGAGAACACTCGGCATCAGTTAAAAATACGGGAGCCAATAAAGCAGGTCCTGTCAAGAAAGCAGAGTGCTGGGACCGGCAGGTGGCGTGGCAGTTAAAGGCACTGAACTCCCACATGGCTAACCCCAGTTTGAGTCACAGATTGGTGGCTTGACATTCATCCTGGGTGTGTGTGTGTGTGTGTGTGTGTGGGGGGGGATTGTGGCATAGGCAACCCCTCCAGGGGGTGATTTCTCACTTTCTCTGTCACTGTCCCTCTTGCCAACACACATGCCCTATAGCAAAAACCTTACCAAAAAAAAAAAAAAAAAAAAAGCAGAGACCCAAGTAGAAGAGGAAATAACCTTGCTGATGAGCCACAGTCCTTAAGAGTTGTAAATGGGAAAAGACATTACATGACGAAGGGACCAGCAGTAGACACAATGGCTCAATGGCTATGTTGCTGGACTACCGTGTAGTCGACCAAGGTTTGAGTCTCAGACCCAGTGGCTTAAACTCACACCAGGTGTGTGTGCGTGCGTGCCTGAGATCCCGAGAGGAGAATGGTGAAGGGATTGTGGTGTGGCCATCCCCCCCCCAGGGGGTGATTTCTCGCTTTCTGTCTCTCTGTCTCTCTCTGTCTTTCTGGGAACGCACATGCCCTATAGCAAAAACCTCTCAGGGAACGCACCATCCCCTAAACAAAAACCCTCTAAAAAAAAAAAAAAAGAAATTATATGACAAGAATTTAGAGAAGGCTCAAATGATTAAAAACAAGATGCACATGGGCAAAAACCAAAGCTGTATCAGCGATGAGGTGATGATAAGAATCAGTGAGAACTACAACAAAGTATAATCATTTAAAATTCTGCTGTAGAAAACGCCACTCAGTAAATGAGTATTTATTAAAAACCTATTATTTGTAAAGTCGTTTTTGAGGCTGTTCATTGTTCTTTTAAATGTGTTATGCTTCTTGGCACACAATTTAGAATTCATTAAGAAATGTTGTAAAGTTAGAGAAGAATGTGAAATTTCAGAAGTAATAAAGTAATATAATAGAGCATGCTATCATTTGAATACGTCCCCTAAATTTGTGTGCTGAGCAACTGTAATGGGATCACACAAGAGGTAAACACTTGATCCAATTACTGTGCTGAAGGGCAGGGCATTTGGATTCAGGGGTTGGCTGGATAGGGTGGGGCTTCCATGACCGAGTCCTGATGGGTTTATAACGAGAGAACGTGACTGGGACAGAAGTCCCACGTGGAACACCGACCACGCTCTCCTCAAAGTTCTCTGCCATTCTGTGTTGCCTTTGGACTTTTCAGTTACCAGAATCATGAGTCAAATAAATCTCTATTTTTATAAATTAGCCAGCTTTGGGTATTACTATTAGCAATGCAACAGAGGACTAAAAGAGAGTGAGTATAAATTCCAACCCCGTGGAGAAAAGAGGAGAATAAAGGAAAGAACAAAATTCCCCCCCCAAAACAAACAAACAAACAAACAAAAAAAAACAAAAGAAAGAAAGAAAACAGAAACAGGACAATTAAAACACTGAAAACAAAAACAAATATACCATAATCATAGTAAGTTTAAATAGGCTGAACTCACCCATAGAGAAAAGAGAGACAACTAGGACACATCTAAAGCATGAGGACAAAGCGAGCTCTCAAGCAGAAAGATGCCATGCAAGTACGGATCAAGTGGAAGGCGGCATGGTTACATCAATCAGGCATTAAGGGAACAGAGGGTTATTATATAATATTAATTCACTAGACAAAATGTAGCAGTTTAACATACATGCGCTCAGTCAAAGGAGCATTAAAAATAAAACAGTAGAAATACAGGGAGAATAAGACCAACACACTTTTCTCACTATTATGTACATTAGGCTATACACCCCTAGTAAACAGTTACTAAAGGGACCAGCAGTTAGCATAATGACTATGTCACTGGACTCCCATGTAGTTGAGCACGGTTCGAGTCCCAGACCCGGCGGCTTAAACTCATGTTGGGTGCATGTGCGTGCATGCCCAAGATCCCCAGAGGAGAACGGAGGAGAAGGGACTGTGGTGTGGCCATCCCCCCGGGGGATGATTTCTTGCTTTGTTTCTGTCTCTCTCTGTCTTCCTGGTGAGTGCATTGC